ACACGTCTTGAATTTAATTTATATTTAAAATTAATTAATTAATTTAAGCTAAATTTGACAAATGGAAATTTTAAAATAATTTATTCAACGGTTTTTCTAGGGTTACATTGCAAGTGATCTGCCAATGCTAGATTTTGTGCCCAGAAGCAGTGCATCTCGTGCTCGTGGCCCTGGCCGTGGCCATAGCTGATCTGGCTGGCGCTCATCTCAGTATAGATATTTTTGTGCTGCACTATGTGGGACATGCGGAGGAGCATGCGAGGGCGAACGCGTCCCGAGTTCCGAGTGCGTCGGAGCCGACTGCGCGGCACTGCGATAGCCATCAGAATACGTCGATAGGTCCGCCAGCCATTGCTCCGATCGTACTCCTGGTGAAAGTACTGAGGCACCTTGTTCTGTATCTGCCAGCGTGCGAGGCGAGCATGTGCCCGATAGGCTGCCACTTGAAACCCCAAGGCCTGCGCCATGATCTTCGGGTACTTTGGATGTTTGCGCAGCTTCCCATTCTTGTGGTAGTAGATGAGGCATTCGCGCCGCAGCTGCTTGTTGCGCCGGCGCAGATACATGAGGTCAGCGTCGCTGTCAACACGCCTGGTCGTCTGCCCAGGCGATCCCCAAGAGGATTCGAGCGAGCGCCTCGTGGTGGGCTCTATGCGCACCATCTCCTTCTGCCTACCTGCAGCACTCACCAGACGCTTCTCTGTCAGCTCGTTCAACACCCGACTGGAAGCACTGTCCACACTCTGTATTTGCTTGAAGTCCTCTTCGTTAGATTTGATGATTTCCTTGAACAGCTGCGAGTAGCTATGCCGCGAAGCACTCTCATTCACTATGTTGATGCTCTCTTCCGATATGGTAGACAGCGGAGATCTGTCTAGCCTCTGCATTGACTCGATGACGGCCTCTACCTCGAGCATTCTCTTGCTCTCGGCCGCGCACAGTTTCCGCTCGGTCTTGCTCTGATAGCACTCGTGCGAATCGAACGTCTCGTAGAGCGTCTGATGTGAGCTGGTTCGTGCAGAGGCCGAGCGGCTCGCGGAATTCCTCTTGCTCTCCTGTGCGAGGGTCGCCTCTTCGAAACTGGAGCGGCAGCTAAACAGACGCTTGATGGATGCACTTCGATTAGATTCGCTCCCTTCCTTGACTGTCGTCGACTCTTCAGTTTCAAACTGAGAGGCTGTCTGTATTTCGCTCTCAGGCGGAGAGGGTGTTTGCACTTCGGACTCAGGCGGAGAGGGTGTCTGCATTTCGGACTCAGGCGGAGAGGGTGTTTGCTCCTCGTGTATAGGTGTGAGGACGTGTGTGGAATGCGTTCTATTTGTAGCTACAACAGACAGTCCCGAATATCGGTCCGTCTCAGGCGGAGAGGGTGTTTGCACTTCGGTCTCAGGCGGTGAGGGTGTTTGGGGTTCGGTTTCATGCTGAGAGGGTGTCTGCTCTTCGGGTATAGGTGTGAGGACGTGTGTGGAATGGGTTCTATTTGTAATTACAACAGGCAGTCCCGTATATCCGTCCAGTACCTTGTTAAGATTCTTGCCCATGCTGTTCACGTCCGTAAAGGGCACCTGCAGGTAGCCAATCTCCTTTAGATGGCCGTACATCAGCAGCATCAAACTGTTTCTGGCCCACTTTTGGGGCTTGGGCGCAGCAAGGAAGATCTGTAGCCAATATGAGATGATCTCTTGATCCGACTCGCTGGCTTCCTGTCGGAAGACCGGCTCGTATTCCTCCAGTTGTTGGGCGAAATGGCGATCCAGCCATTTCTCATTGGGTTCCTTCATCATTGCCTGTATTCAATTATAAAAATATATTTATTTTTTCCAGAGTGAGAGAGTTAGAAAACTAGATATAAACTGCCAAGTATCCAAATATAGATTGAGCTCAGTCCCTAGGCATAGTTGCCCAGGTTAGCAAGTGGCTTCAAGAACTTGTCAAGGACGCTGTAGCAGGCCATGACAGGATTATGATGGCTGCCTCCAGGCGAACTGCGACCGCGCATAACTTTCCCGACCGCAGGCGAAGGCATCGCATCAAGTGGAGCACCAAGTGGTGCTGCATGCACCTTGAAGTGCCACAAACCAACGCCATGTCATTCACAATAAGCACAAAGGCAGCTGGCTGAGATGGCGGAGATGGCAGAGATGCCTGCGCCGACAACAAAGCGTGTGGTTTGCCTTGTTACGCAAATTTTCATTAGCGCTGCGCGCGTATAAATTAGGAAAATGAAGCAGCCGCCGCAGCTACAGCCAACAGCAGGCAGCAAAGCACTTGAGTGCAGCGGAACGGCTCTTACTCTCGGCTGGGGCGCTTAAGCTTGCCAGCAGCGGGTGGCCTAACCACAGCCACAACAACAACAGCTAGCAAAGTGTAGCTGCTGCGGTCTGTGGCTAGCAAAGCAGGTGTGTGTGTGTGCGCCTGTGTGTGCAGGTGTGTGTAGGTGTGTGGCCCGCATTAATTTATATTGTTAGGCATGAGCTAGAAAATAAGCACGCACAGCCTGTCCAAAACAGTGCCAAGACAGCAACAGCAACAGCAACAACAATAACGGGCATTAGCCCTTGAAAAAGACTAAAATAAATACCAAAAATCTAATTATAGTGTTTTTATTTCAAATTGCAATAGCCCCACTGATATGGCAACACTGTCCATAGTAAGCTGCTGCTCGCCATTCAAATCAGTATCAAATTCAAAATGAAAACAATTATTATGCGAAAATGCATCCAAAGTGGCAGATTTTGAGAAGGCAACTTAAATTATCTCATTTATATCAATTTCCTTTTGTACTCACGTACACGTACACGACTGCTTATCGATATATCTACACATGTATGTGATCACCATCGCCATTCCAACAAGAACTACATCCTTCTGGCAACGCTGCGACGCTTGTAGTTCTGAAATTGCAGCTGGCAACACTGTCTGCTACAGCTTTTGCGCAAGCGTTTCGCACTTTATTGAGATGGATTCCGACCCACAGCACAAATATCGCAAAAATCAAGTAAATGGCACCCTTTATGTGACCACCTGCCTGTATTTGGATCCCCGCAGGGTTGCCGAGCTGGAAACAGGCGCTGATGAGGTGAAACCCATATATTATACAAAACAAGGTACTAACTTTACTCTTGCAGTTGTTTCTAACTCACATTCACAAGCGCACCACGGCGGACCACATCATGCAGGTGGCAGTTGAGCTGGGCCCTGTGTACACGCTGCGCTTCAAGGTGGACTTCTCGGGCTGCAGTCGTGGCTATGCCTACCTACAGTACGTCGATAAAATGCACAAATCGGTGCTAATGCAAATGTAATAAATGGAGTTCTGATACTTTTGAGACCAATACGTAAATATATTTCCAACCTTCCTTAATCATTAGGCTGCAGCGTTGCTTTCGGCGCGAGAAATTGAGAATTCATGTGCGCGAGTCACGCAATCGCAGAGATCTCCTCCTCAGCAACGTCCACCACCTGACACCGCTGCAGGTGCATCAGGAGCTGCGCCTGGTCAGCCACTATGTGAAGCTCTGCGTGTACGAGTATGAGCCCAAGCGCTACATCTATGTCGTAAAGTATCGGAACAATGACGAGGCGGCCATGGCGCATCACAAGCTGCGCAACAAAGTGGGATGCTTCGGCCTAGATGCGTGTATCGATTGGCTGGACAAGGGTCAGGTGCTGAAGGACCTGAACGTGCAGCAGAGCTGCTGTGTCCAGCTGTCACGCGACTCCGACCACCTCCAAGCCAGTGCCAACAGCTGCCGTTGCTTCCGTATTTAAGTGCAATCCTTATATTTGATATATGCAAATGAGAGAAAAACCAACTTTAATTATACGTTTCCTGCTTTTGTGATTATAATGCGACGCTTTACTCATTCCCTTTTCTGCTTCTTGCCTCAAGAGCAGCCGCATCTTCTTGACTTCATTAAAGTCAAGGAGTGAAAACATTGTAAGGATATGAAGAAGTTGTTTGCTCGCATGCAAATTAATGCGGTGTTTATATTAAATACTCGACCGTAGGGTATTTAGCCTACATCATACTTGTGTACGATGCTAGAAGCTCAGGTAAATATATCCGTTACTCCTCTAACTTCTATTGAAGGCAAGGATCTTGAAATTGCTGGTTCCTGGATGAGTTAAGATCTCTTGCTCTCTATTGCAGACGTAAATCGATAACATTATCGATATAATAATTACTTTCTGATGATCAAGTAATAACGATAACGATTCTGGTTAAAATATCGAGCTGACTGACACAGCTCTACTAAATCACTTAAGGATCAGTGGGAAAGTTCCTTCAACCCAGCTAAATTCAGGGTATATCCCAAGTCGTTGACTCCCAGCTGAAACACTCTGCTTATTGTTATTGTTGAGTGCGACAACTGGCTGATGACAGCAGCTGCCACATGCCACATGCTACATGCTACATGCTACTTGCCACCTGCCGCCTGCCGCCTGCCCCACCCAGCCCAGCCACACTTTGGGGCAATGCAAGGGCCTGCGGCATAATGCAATTAAATGAGTGCATTAAGCAGCAGCAGCAGTAGTGGCAGAAGCGCTCGTCCACCTGTACAGGTTGCCAGGGATAGACAAACTTCAAGCGGGTGGGCGTGGCTGAAGTGAAGCTCATCCATCAAGGCGGCGCATAGTAATGCGATTGTCAGCAGCTGGCGGATGTTGTGCCTCGRCGGAAGCGGATGCGGATGCGGATGCTGTTGTCCTTGCTGCTGCAATTAAATTAGAGCTTGAAAATCGAAATGCAGCTTTACGGAAAAAGAAAACAGAAACACACAAGCGATGGGAGGAAGGGGTGAGGCGGGAGGACGGCTATGCGGGAGAGCGTTAGTCGAGAGTCTGAAGAAAAAGTTAATAAATATTCATTAGATTCTGGCAGGAGGAGCAGCAGAAGCAGCGGCGGCACCTCCGTGTTGATTTGCATTAATTTGTTAATTCAAGCGCAAAGTGCCACGCCCACACCCACACACACCCGCACACCCACATCCACTTGAAGGCCATTAAAGGTCCCACTTTTTGTGGTATTTGCAATTAAATGGCTCAGATTTTTGCTATTTGCTGCAGGCAACTGTGGAGCTTAGCCTCAGCTGGCATCGCTGCGGCTTGTGACCCATTTTGGCCATGTCAGGACATAGCCTCAGCCGAGCCGGGTGTATTGAAGCTAGTGCCAATATTTGCTTAGCATAACTACCCTCAGGTAGGTGTGACCCCGTTTGCTTATGTCTTTAAGGCGTCGCCCCGCGCGTAGGCGTAAGCGTAGGCGTGGATCCAGGGATTTGGGTCAGAGATTATATGCCTGGCATTTGCTCTGTGCCCTGTGCTCTGTGCTCTGTGTGTAGCGACTTTCAAACGGAAAGCGAGAGTTATCCACATATTGTGCCGGCCCGGCCGGGTCTGGCTTAAAGCCAACATTCAGTCTAAGCCCTCGCTGGCAGCGTTCTCTGCTACAAGCTCACGTCGACCGCAGCGGGCCAAAGTGGGCAAAGAGCATTCCAGATGCGATTGTGGCAACAGCTACAGGATACAGCACTTAGCTTCATTTTTTGATGATGACTCTTCCCTTTAGATTCGCTTTTTTTTCTTTCTTTTTTTTTTTTTTTTTTTTTTTTGGGTAAGCAAGTTTTCTTTTGGCCAGTTTTCCATTTGGAAATGGCATTAACAACATGCGTCATGCATATGCATGGCTTTAGCTCAACGTTTTTTTCTGTTTTTGGCCAGAATCCACTCGCCCAGTTAGAGCCAAAGAATTCGCTGTCCCAGCTGCGGTTACATGAGCTATGAAGCGGGGAAATGCACGAAAATTGTTACAAAAATACCTCTTAGTTAGCATTAAATCAACAGTTAGTTCAGAGCATTGCCTTAAAGCCTTGGCTGTGTGGAATCATAGAATAGTTCTTCCACTAGTGGATCTATTGAAGTTTGCCTCACTAGAAAAATCGAATTAAATCCTTAGTGAAACTCGTAAATGAAAATACAACAAAAGACATTTCACATCGAATTGCCAATAGCTCAAGAAAAATGAATTTAGTATTAAACAAAACGTGAATAATTTATTTACATCAAAGCAACCACAAAAATGTCTTTCCAGCTCAAAAGCGCAACAAATTCCAAAAAGCGTAAATAAAACCAAATTAAGCTGCAAACAAAAATACCAAAACTTAAAATACCTAAGGCACCACACACATACCAAGGGAGTTGCCAGAAGTCTAAGAAGGAAGACAAATTCCTTTAATAATTTCGCAAAGAAATATCAAATATTTGGTATATTTGGCAACAGCTTTTGAGCATAGATGAGTCTGTGGCTAGGGGTTTTATATTTTATTAAACAATTCAATTTTAGCACCAGCTACAAATTGAGCTCTAGTCCCAGCCGGCAGCAAACCTTTTGGGCCATAAATTGATAATGACTGCTGGCAATATTTTTATAGACAGGCAGCAGGAGCCGGCGTAGGCAGTGCTTAATCGCCATGGCTAATGCGCCCGAAGTCGGCTCTCTCTCCCTCTGTTTTTTACTAAAATTAATGAAAAAAGTTGTGGACACAGTTGTGGGTTAGCTGTGACTTTGACATAAAGCACAAACAACAACAAACAACAAGCAACAACGAGCAGCACATTTATGTATATTTCATGTGTTCCTTACACTGTGAAATCCTTGAGGTATTATTAAAAAATTCGTTGCTGTCCCTATAAAAAACAAGTGAAAACCCTACAGCAGAGTGCCACGACTGCAGAATACTCGCTCAGTGAATATGCTACGAGATATCCAGAAATTGTGGCAGGCTATGCAGAAGTCTTTGTCCTTGTCCTTAAGCTTATGTACATAAGCAACTTAGCCGTATCAAACATATGTATACGAATATTCTTGAACAGATTTGCATCTGTATGTAACTACATATGCTCGCATGTCTGTCTGTATATCTATCTCTCTGTCTGCCTAACAAGAGAATCCAAGAACGATAGAAGATCATTTAAGTTGTCTACATGTATGCAGAAGCTCTCATTCGGCATTTATACATGAGTAAAACGAAGTTAGAATGCTCGCAGCAGCATAGAGTGCTCCCATTGGTCAGCGAAAGGTCGACTACAACGATCGCTACCTGACGTCGGGCCTAACATTTGAGAGCAACTTGGTGAGAGTGATAGTCGCCCTATATAAAGGGCACCAGCTGCAGCATTTCTTCAGTCGCCCAGGCCCGGTGGGGATCAACAGTGCAGGGCAGTAAAGGGAAGAGAAGTAAAGTGAAGTGAAGTGAAGTAAAACATAATATTCAATGATCCAGCTACGCATTAAAGATTTGGAAGAAATACATGGAGGAAATATTTAGAGAAAATACTTGGAGAAAATATTAAGAAGAAATTCTTGGAGGAAACACTTAGAGGAAATACTTAGAAGAACATCTTGGTGGCAAAAGAGGAAACATATGAAAAAATACTTCGAAGAAATATACCAAGCTAATATGCCTGTTTTCTCATTGTGAACAAGCATAGCACGCAAGCTGTTGTAGTTGTTGTCGTTGTTGTAGCAGCGCCCCAAATGAGTTTATGAGCGTGTCATGTTGTTGTCCCTGTGTCGCTACGTCCTTGTTGCTCCTTGCCATTGCTCTGTGTTTATATTGCATATTAAATATATTTTGGCAGTTCCCCGGTCCCCGCCTTACCCCTGCACCATCTCATCGCCTTCCCGTCTGTAACTTGGCTTGTTGACAATAAAATAACATTTTGCACTCACTTATCCAGCTGGTACTTCAGCTTCGAGAGTTTTAATGAAAAAAGTTTCATTTAACAGAAACATATTTATATGTATGCATATACATATATATTATATAATAGAGCTGTTTGCATGCCGATTGTTAAGAATCCTTAGGCTTCGCCCCTTCCTTCCCACTCAGCCCGCAGCTATTTTCCATTTGACTGTTTGCTTCATTAAAAACGCATGCCAATAAACACAATAAAAACACTTCATCATTGCTTGAATTTCTTGTGCAAACTTTTTCGCCCAGAACAGTTCAACTAACCATCTACGTGGCCATCATCTCAATATATATTGAGCATACGCAGCGTGAGCCAAAGCAGCAGCCGCTGGATAAGAGCTGTCTGCCTGGCTGTCTGACTGTCTGACTGCCTGACTGCCGGACTGCCCCACTGCCTGACTCCTAGCAGCTGCAGATGGCTGGCTTTCTTATGGCTTTGCCTGATTGTCTGTTGCTCTGGCGCTCACTTTTCGCTATGGCCATTGAAAATCAATCAATAAAACTCCGTAGCAAAGTCAATTGTGAGGAATGTTTGTACCCTGCACATAGGAGAGAAAGAGTATATAAAGCATTAGCGTGAATGACAAAATAGAATTAACAATCATTATTATAATTTGATATATGTAGGGAACTTAAGTTGGTTATCAATCTATTTGAACTCAGGAACTGTTCAAACTACAGGCATATAATCTGGTATACTTCGACTCTAAGGAATAAAATTAAATTCTAGACCAGAATCATATTAATAGTTATCTCTCTAGGGTATCTTATAGTTTTCTACTCTAATCACGCTGCTCTACAGACATGTGCACTCTATATGGTTATAGAGTCATGTCTCTAGCCCAGTGCTATGTGAAGTTTTTGAAATGCTATGCGCAATATTGAAGCAGCTGCTCATACTTTGGCCAACATTCCAGCTCAAAGTCAGACAGCATACGGACGGACGGACGGACGGACGGATGGACAAATCAACGGAACGACAATTGGACGGACAAATCGATTATTTGCAAAGCATAAAATAGAGCATTAAACGAAATCAAATATAAAATCAAATCAAATGAAATAAAATAAAATATGGTTATGCCAGAGGCGT